TTCAGTGCAGTTACTACAAAAAACTTTAAAATTGATATAAATTCCTCTATTACAATTAGGTTATTTTTTTGGTATTTTTCCTCATCTTTCAGTATAAGTTTTAGTTTCAGCCTGGGTGTGTCTGGAGCAGGACACTTCTGTTTTGTTTTAGTATCCCCTACATGCATACAAACTTCTAGGATGTTTCAAGGACTGTTAATCAACAGAGACATACTCTACCCAGAATATTTAATCTATGAAGAGATACTACTAAACAGATATTGTTTCTACACAAAAGATATTAAAAATTCCTCAAAGGTGGATTTTGTGGTGTTGTCAACTGATGGCATGCAATGGACAAACGGATTCTGATTTGGTCAGGGAATTAACTTGTTTGTTTCTCAAAAGAAAAAAAAAGATACTTTGTAAAAGAAAGTCATCCCAAGTAGGAACAAAAAAGACAAATTCTTGTACATCTTCAGGAAAAAAAAAAGATTCAGTGTATTACTACTTGAAGTTGTTTGAACTGTAGTGTTTGGCTAAAATAAAGACATTCAATGAAACACTTGTAATTTTTTGTAATGTGAAAATTTGAACCTTTCTTTTCCAGAAATGTCTGATTGAAATATATCTATATTTTAGAAGTGTTTTCCACCTTCTCAAGGAAAGCTTAAATTTAATTTAATTCCTTTTAGGAAGGGATTCAATGGAAATGAATCCCTACTGGAGAGTTACTTGACACATTTTTAGCACTTTGTGCAATTAATTTAACTAAAATACCTCAGTATTCTTTCTATGAGAGAGTTATACAGTTTATCGACCTCATACAGTGTGAAGATAATTAGTTTGTATTTCTTAAGCAGTGTAATGACAGAAAAGATCAATCCCCAAATGGAATTATAAAAAATACTGTGGTGGTCTAAAAGACACCAACTTTCAATGAAATTAAAAGGCACTGTCAGGAATACTCTGAATCACTGATATAAATTAATAGTTTCATTAAACCATTAAAATCTTCATAGACTTTGTTGTCCAGAGTTACATCAGGTGGCTCCTATGTGCAAAAATTTGTACACACCTTTTTTTCCTAACTTAGAAATAGCTTTTAATTTCATCTGTCTCTTTACCAGTTAGTCTTTTGGGACTGCGAGATGCTTCTATACTTTGCCTCAAACAACTTCAGTTTTGACTATCCTGAATAATTTCAGGTCATCAGCAAAATGTATAAAGTTTCTGTTTACTCTGTGTTTGAGATCACTTAGGAGCACCCTGAACAGCAGAGATTCCAGCAGGATCTTGTAACACCTTGTGAACAACCTTTTTCCCCTTTGACAACTGACCATTCATTCCTTCTTTTCTCTCCTAACTTGAAAAAAGCTAACAATGCTCAAGAAGACCATTCCTCTTGTGCCATAGTAGCTTCTTTCTTTTAAAGACCTGTAAATTTTCCCAAAGCTTCATGGAAATCCAAGACATATGCGCCAGAGTATCCAAATGTGGAATTGCAACACTGCAGCTACCAGGTCATCTTGTCCACGTGTTCCTTTAGACAAGCCTAGTACATTTTTGAGACATGACTTCCATCTGGAAATCTGCATTGATTCTTCCCCAGTTAAAATCTCTGTTACAGCTGTAACTCCCATCATATTGCCATGCTGGGGTAGGCTTGTTAAAATATGTGGCCTTTGTCTTCTAAATTATTTGAATACTTACCCTTTGATTCCCCCAAGTAGTATTTTGCTTTTTTTTTTTTTTTCATAAATGATATTAAGGGGACATTTTGTGGAAAAAGAAGGTGAGAGTGAACAAAATACCATGTATTTTTCTGACTAAATCATTACCAGTTCTTCATTAAAGAATACTTATAAAGAAAACCAAATTCCAGAAGTTTATTTTATGGAAGAAAAAAGCCCCAAACCAAGACAAAAAATCCTTCAAGGTTAAGTTCCTGAATCTGTACTAATTAGTTACTAACCTGTAACTAATTAAATACGACTTTCTTTTTGAGCTCTCTAATATTACTTTCTGTGTTTTGATTTTCACATACATATGTAGGCAACTTTTATAGAAAGTGAATTAATCTAGGCTTTGGCTTTTGTTCAGCTATGTCTGGCATATACATATCTGAGATCTGTAATAGAAGAGACTGTTTTAGAGACATGCACATTCACATCAGTATCACGTTTCTAAATTTCACAACAGTCTTCATTTTCAGGCCTTCATACTTTGTATGTGCAAGATTTCCCTATTGTGTCAGTTGGCTTTTCTGCCTGTGAAGCACTGAATAAAGCATTGGTAAATTCAGACAAAAATTGCCTGTGCTGTTGACAGTGTCTGCTGTTGAAAATGTAACAACAAGCAACTCAATTCTGATTTTCAGCTTGCTTTAAACTTACAGAAATGGTGTAACTGCCACCTGTTTCTAATTATTCCTGAAAAGCCAGTAAGAGGTAATATGAAGGGTCACTCAGGAGTATGATTCACAGTAACCTGGAAACTTTAGCTATTGATCTTTGACTGATGACATTCTCTTTGCTAAGCCCGACGTGTGCTGCCCAGACCATAGGTTGTTTGTAGTGTCTGTTGCATTGTGTCCTGTCCAAGGCACAAAATCACAGTGATGGGGGTTCAGAGAGGGTGAGGGTATTCTCTTTCTTTGAAGTAGTATGAAATAAGGAAATAGAAGGGGCTTAAGGAAGTGCTTTTTTGGTATTGATAGCTTCTGTGAAAAATTGAAATCTCTACAGCTGGTCAATGGCGTCAGCAGTTACCAAATATCTGAGCCGATCGCTGCTACACTTTTATGACAAATGTTCAAAACTGGATGACATATTTAAATAGGTTCCTGAATCTATAATGATAATGAGTTGGTAGATAGTGTGATGTTTAGCCGGGTTGTACCTCATAGCCATTCACTGAGATTTGTGGATATTGGTCACTAAGGTGTAACAACTTTATTGAGACTTGGAAGACCAAACATGGATTTAAAAGTTTAACATTAGGATAATAACTGTGCTAGTATTTTGGCCCTATTTCCTAGAAATTTTTCTTTTTCATCTTAAAAAAACACCCACAAAGAGTAAAGCAATTTTTAAACATCTTGGCTGCTAGTGACAGCATCTTAGAATCATAGAATCATAGAATGGTTTGGGTTGGAAGGGACCTTAAAGCTCATCTAGTTCCAAACCCCCTGCCGCCTTCCACTATACCAAGTTGCTCTGAGGCCTGTTCAATGTGGCCTTGAACACTTCCAGAGATGGGGTATCCACAGCTTCTCTGGGCAGCCTATTCCTGTGTTTCACTACCCTCTGGGTAAAGAATATCTTCCTTATATCTAATTTAAATCTCTCCTCTATTAGTTTAAAACCATCCCCCCATGTCTATCACTGTCTGTGTAAAAAGTTGCTCTCCCTACTTTTTACAAGACCCCTTTAGGTACTAGAAGGCCACAATGAATTCTCCCTGGAGCCTTCCCTTCTCCAGGCTGAACAACTCCAACTCTCCCAGCCTGTCTCAGTAGGAAAGGTGCTTCAGCCTTTTGATCACTTTTGTGGCCCTTCTCTGGACTCGCTCTAACAGGTCCATGTCTTTCTTGTGCTGAGGACCCCAGAGCTGGACACAGTGCTCCAGGTGGGGTCTCACAAGGGCAGAGTAGAGGGGCAGAACCACCTCCCTTGACCTGCTGGCCATGCTGCTTTTGATGCAGCCCAGGAGTTACAGAATCCTCAAAAAGTTTAGTATTGGTACACTAAAAAAATTGGTCAAGGTTTCTTAAAGACACATAGAGTAGAAGAAAAATCCTACTAAAATGAAAGGCAAGTTTATTGCTTTGCCACACTTGTGGGTATGAGGCAGTGAGACAGAAAAGCTCTATAGAAGCTGGATATAAAATGAGCAGTTTCAGTATGATTGGGTTTTATTTTATGTTGCCAAATAAATACATCTGTAAGTGTGTATAAAATCCCTCACCCAACTGATTCTTGAGGAGTCTTGATCACTTGTAGCTTCCTGGCTTACTGCATTAATGCTAGTATTTAATATGGATTCTTTTCTATTTCACTTAACACTGTTCTCGCCTTTGCTTAAGTAAATCTCACTCATCCTACCTCCATTTCTCAATGATGTGTTTATTTTCACAGTTCTCTCAACTATCTCTTGCACAGGCAAGCTCACTGACCATTTTTCAGTAACTTTTGAGACCCAAGTGTACTTTTCTTCACATGATCAGCTGGTAATTTGAAATCTAGGTCTCTCTGTCCTCTTGTTTCCTGGCAGCTTTTTCCAGAGACTATCATGGGGCAGCCCGTCATCCTCGAGTGCTTCATGCAAGAAGTTGATCTCTACAGAATTCAGATAACTGTTGTCTTTAGGAATCTTCTTTATTGAATGCCCATTGTGCAGTGTTAAGTGCTTACCTTAAGGTATATTTACTCAGTGTGTCACATGAGCATCTGCAGAGCAGATAACAGCAATTTGTGGAACTTCGATCCTGGGCTGCAAACAACTCTTTCATAATACAAGCTGCCTCATCCCTCGTGCTCAAGAGAAAGGAGGAAGCATTGAAACACACAACGAAAATGAACTGATAACTTTACTATAGCTTAGTAATGTTGATTTCTTTTTTTTCCTAATTAAAATGGAAAGTTCGTCAAACAGTAGAATAAAGATTTATATTTTTGTTATCAGGGATAGTATTTACATCTACAGCTCCTAAAGATAACCATCTCCTCTCTTAAAATGCTTGTTTGGAAATCACTGCCAGGAGCAGGCGTGAATTCTCCCCTTCCTATATTCACTGTTGCACTAGGGAATTCTGTGCTGCCTCTGACACAGCAGACACCTGGCACTGCTGGTACTCAGATATGATGAATTATGTCTCAGACCTTATGTTTCTCTGTTGGTTTTACAGGAGGGCATATAAGTTTTTTTAAAGTATAAATCCTAATGAAACTTTTATATAAAGAAAGCTCTCAAAGGGTCATATGCTTAATGTCCCTTCATCCTTTTTACAGGAAGAAAAATGACTAAAACTTGAAGTCAGACTCTGGCATGCTTGAATACCATATGCCTGCACTATTGAGAGACTGGAGCAGAGTATCTGGAGAAAGATGAGAGAGTGTGGGTGGCAATAGAAAAAACAACCACCACTGTAAGTTAGCAAGATAATATCCTTACTTTCTTCTGTGGGTCTCAAGAGTGATTAAAAAAACATTGGTGTTTTAAAAATATTGCTGAGGACTACAGTGTGACTCATAATGCTTCAGAGAATGGAATTCTTGGAAGTTTCACTGTAATGCCAGATTTTAGAATGGAGGGCAGCAGAGCTGCAGAGAAGTAACATGAGGCTATGTTGACGGAGAAAACATCTCTGAGGAAATGCAGGCGAGAGGGAAAGAAAGGAAAGAGAATGGGCCTGGGGAGATATGACAAGACAATTATTTATACTGAGAACTGTTGCTTGCACTGATGGGAGTGTTTCACTGCTTTTTGAGGTTTTATTGGCCAGAACGCCTGCCTACACAGTTCTTGGTCATATGCACAGCAGGGAGAGATAAGTAACCATGTTGACCAGTTAGACAATGAAAGGAGTTACACACAAGTCCAAAAGCCCAAAGCCTGTCCTAGAGCTGATCTGAAAGTTTTGAGTAAAACTTTCCTTTTTTTTTTTTTTTTTTTTTTTTTTTTTTTTTTTTTTTTTTTTTTTTTTTTTTGTTTTTGTTTTTGTTTTTAAAGTTTGGCTTGTTTTTTGTTTGTTTGTTTGTTTGTTTGTGTTTTTTGGGTTTTTTTGTGGGGTTTTGTTTGGAGTTTGTGCAAATTTCTGGTAAATTCAGCTGTTTTATGAGGGAATGTATTGGCTAAATGTTGTGAAGCTTTCTCAAGTCAGAATAGAATTTCTGGTCAGAATAAAATAAAGAAGAATGATGATCATCTGGAATTAAACAGTAGCATCACAGTTATGGCATGTACCTGATATTTTGCTTGATACTGTAACACAACTGAGTTATATCCTGAGTAAGTAGCTTTGCTAGGAAAGTGAGCAGTCTTCCTCCCACCATCCCCCACAAGTGCTGATCAGTACTTCTTCCCCTAAAGTTCCAAGAAAACAGTTTGTGTATTTCACATTGTCCAGGATATGAATTTTCCAGGTTCAGATCCATGGACATGGGCTGGTCTTGTACCAGAACATCCTCCTTTAAGTGAGTATCCTGTCTGGCAGCTGAGGTAGGATTGATTTCTCTCTATTGCTTACAGGGTGAAAAGGTATTGTTTATGCTGGAAGCCTCGATGCTGAAATCTAGGCTTTATTATTATTATTTTTAAGAGAATTCTTAGTATCTAGGTTTCTCCTATAAACTATAGTTTATGCATATTATTAATTAAAACATGTTGGTTCAGAGTTCTGAAAATGTGTTGATGGCTTAAATGTGGATAATGCTGCTGTCTAGATAGAAACTTTGTATATCTTTTAAACATTTAATGATTATTCATCTGATAATTTACACCTGAGAAATGCCATGACTTGATATTTTCTATTTCCTCTCTGAAAAAAAAAAAAGTCATATAATCAGCAGGGGAGCAAGTATGACACCATTCTGTAAGTGATGGTTATATACCACAGTTAAATAAATATCCTAAGTGAACAATTAGTTGATATATTCTTGACTGAAATTTGTTCATGTAATTTGATCGATGAAGTGTGTGGCTAAAGAATAAATTAACAGATCATAACCAGTTCCTGAACAATTCATGAATGGGAAGAAAGACTACAGAACAGGGAATATGAATAATATTTTATTTCCCTTGCATAACAGGAAAATGTAGATTTTTGAGTTGGCCAAAACGGAAAATGAAACTTTAAAATTTTTTATTTTATTTTATTTTTTCTGGAAAATTAAATCTAGTTGTATTTAGAAATGAAACATCTTAAATGAAAAGTGTGATCTATTATGAAAATGAACATAGGGGTTTTTTTTCTATTTTTTAATGTTTTTATGTTATATTGAATTCTTGCTGAAATAATTTTGCAGTTTTCAGAGGGACAACACAGATTTTAACCAGATTGAAATGCCAATATAGGTGGATAAAAAATTCAATCAAAAATTTGTCCAGCTTTCCTGGGCTTATGATCTACCAATTCCTTCATTTCCCAAAGCAGTGAACAGAGAAATGTTTATTTGTTATGGGGTTAGTGCAACTAGTTTTCTCTCATCCAGTAGATTTCATAGTAAGAGTACACAGCCAGGCTGTTATGATCTCAGAGTCAGCAGTAAAATCTGCAATGCATGATGATAGTAGGTTCTCAAATAAACAGGACTTTGGACAAAATGAAAAAATGCACCAAAAATTTGAGTAAACAACTGCAAGACAATCTACATCTTCTCAATTTGTGTAGGAGATAAGTCAGAGCTGGGAAACATTTTCTGATATGCCCATTAATGGATGCACAACTCATCCAATCACTCAGGAGCTAATACTGCACTTTTCTGTTCTGTGCATAAAAAATGTCATGCCAAATGACTCTGAGTGGTATCCATAATGATGAATTTACAGCCATCAGTAAGGAGCCTTCTTCGATTGTCTGCATTAAAGCAGCAGATGATGATGATCCCATCCAGTGATGCTTTTCCTTGGCCTTATTAAAAAGAGCAGCACACAAGGCAATCATACCCTTGGGTGTCTTTTGACTTGCTCAAAAGTATGGCTTAAGTGTTGATTTCTTTTCCAAAAAACCCCAAATTCCATTTTGCAATGATGACACATCCATGCCTAAAAACGAATGACTTGGGCATTACAGTGAATGCCCTGATTGGTCACCTGGTATTAAAAATAGTACCGGGTTTCACAGACAATATTTAGCTGGGCACATCTGTCAACTGTCAGTGCTGTGCATGGGAAAGAGATAACCATCTCCCTCTTTTCACTGTCCCACAGTTTGGGCCTTATCCCATGCATTTGTAATACAGTGCTGCAGTCTCTCCCAGAGACCCCATAGGCTCAGTGGCTTCTTCCCCATGGTCTGGCCCATGAGCCACTGTCTTACTGCATTGAGCAAGAGAAGCTCGACAGATCCAGAAAGGAATTGTGAGTCAGCAGGCATGTTCGGTGACTCCAAAGACACAACGAAATCTGATATGCGTTTTTGTCAAGTCTCTTTTCCAGCTATTAGATTTGTTAACCAGATAAAAAATTCCAGGGTGAGTTCATAGTAACACAGAATATGTGGTAAGAGACAAAGGAGATCTTTCCAGTTTCCGGCAGTGTCTGCAGGAAGGACTAATATGCATCTCTCTGATAGGTTCCTATCCAACTTTAGAAAACACAGATGCATTTCTATGGTACATACCAATTTGTTTCAGTTCTACTGGCAAATCATTACAGAGTTCCTCCAAACCTGTCTTTGTGTTCTTGAGAATGCAGTTGAAGACTTTAAGGTTCAGACAGTAAAAAAAAAAAAAGCAAAAACAAAAAGCAAGATCCATGACATTTCTTCCTCAATCTGCTCTTTTTTCTTCCTTTCTGTTCCTCCCAATAGATAATTTCTGGAAATTATTTCGGCTGAATGAGTGCAGTGAAGACATCTCATGGGAATAGGAGAGGTCTTGCAGGTCAGTTTTGGGGAACAGTTCCAAATTCTTCTGTTGGTTTTGCTTACCAGACCTTTGCTCTAATCAGGTAGATAGAACTATTGACTCAGTTTGATGTTGTGGTAGATTATTTTGTACCAGAGATACATCACAACTGAAACACCTATAGGTCTGCATGAACATCAAAAAGACTAGAGCTCAGCATAATCATTCCAGTGGTATGCCTTCTAGAGAAGGCAATATACAGTGAAAAGGAAAGATTAAATGAAATAGAGAGAACAAGACAACTGAATTCTGCATTTTCTGTTTCCCCGGAACTGTTCATTATTCACTGACGTACGTGCAGTGGATGTGTTCCACTTTTGAGTGAGAAGAAATAGAAATGAACTTGTTAATTTGTTTAAATTTTTGTATAATTATCACTTTTTGAATTAACTATTTTATTTTATAGAATACATAACTCCTTGCCTCTCCCTTTTCAGTGTTCCAAAACCACTTTGGGCTAATTTGATCTCTGTCATTGTATGCATGTGTCTGTGTGGCACAGTATGTTCTCTGTGTGCATGTGCTGCAAATCCAGTTGACAGCAGCCTTGTGCCCTATTCTTTTCTGATTGTCCTTCATTCTTGTCCTTCATTGCAAATGGAAAGTGAACAAATAACTTAATTTTTTTTCTTGCATTGAATTGTGCAACTTCCAGAACTTCTTCAGCTCAGTCTGATAGTTTTTTTTTTAGGGTCACTTCCATTATAACAATTCTTGAAAGTCATAATATATACCTTTAAATTTTATTGAAAACATAATAAAACATATTTTTTCATAAACATATATTTTAAAATTTATCCTGAGGTTACTAAATGATTTTTTATTCTTAGAAATTATTTCTACTCTCAGGTCTTTGGCACTAACGATATCTTTGGCATAATTATGTTTGTGAAGTTATATGAACTCAGAGAAAGCTCTGAAAGATGTTTCGAATCAGAAATGTTCAAGTTTATGATACTTAAAGTGAGGTTCTGTGCTATGACACCTCATTTAAATTCCACATTGTGGTACATGATTTGAGGACTTCTGCCTGATAACCTGTAGTGATCAAATAACTATACTGAATTTTTTCTACTACAGACAATACCTGACTGACTCTTCAGGCAAAAAAAGCAAGACACACCAAGAAAATAGAAATATGACCCTAAAAATCCAGCCTGGGATGCCTTAGAATGGATGTGAAAGTCCAGGCAAATGAAGACTGCTCAAGCACTAGTTGCTTTATAAACCTAAGAGGGTGAGAGGGAAAAGATGGGCAGAAAATATCAAAGGCTTTGCCATGGTTCTTAACCTCATTGCTAAGGATTTCAGTAAATTTTAAATCTGTTTATAGTTTTTTATAGTGCCCATTACTCTATAACGGATCATGAAATGTCCTTCTTCCAGGGACCACGTGCCAGTTCATTCTTGGAGTCTTCAGTAAAAAATGCAGTTCTTGCATATCTTTATCAGAGATTCCGGGATCGCCTCTGTGTTGGGGTAATTCTGGGCACTGGGGGCGTGACATGCAGGAGGTCGAGCTACCTTGCCCCATATGGCCATGTCCTAAATGTCCTTTTAAGATGGAGGATATTTATTACTTGGAAGGGAATGGAAGCAAATGCTTCCATAAGAAAAGCCAGGATGGATCTACTAACTTGCAAAAGAGAGAGGAAACATCAGACAGGCCTGATCTTGTAAGTTTGATGGGCACAGGAAGTCCATGGACCAGACTGAGTGATCCTTACATTTGAAGGGGTAAGCATTATACCCTGAGAAGGGTTCTTATACAAAACATATTAGCTGAAGGATTTTAACGTTGCATTTTCACACAGGGAGTACTGAATACTGTTTGCTGTTCTAGTTAAGATTTTTTGGCTGTTGATTGTTAGTGCATTTACCACTCTAAACCACTTCCAAAATCCCTGAAGAAGCAGGTGGAAGGCCAAGTAGATGAGAAAAATACATGAATTAGCCAATTAAGTGAAGGTCATAAATGAACCCCATTTCAAGAGGCATCATCAAACATTTGTTTGAAAAGAGAAATTTGCGAAGAAGGAAGCAGGTGTCAAATTTCTTTTGGCAGCTGGATGCTGAAAAGCAATTAGAATGAAAAGCTACCTGATCTAAAGCTCAAGACACCAGGAGGATGTGCCTTAACAAGTGGAAGGAAACACATATCGATGGAGTTTACAACTCTCATGCTGTAGGGAGGGTGCAGAGCAGTGAGGAAATGTGCTGACATGCCTGAATTCTGGCAGGATATAGGACACTGGCATTGCCAGTGAGGAGGAACTTGAGAGTGATTTTTGGGCTCTGTATTCAAACAGATGTCTGTCTTCCGCAGCACGCTGTAGGAAAAGAGAGGTTTTGAACCATTAGAAAAGCAAAGGAAGTGCAATAGCCCAGATTTTTATCATAATTACACCCAGGTGGTTCTGAAGTGACTACACCCGTGTCATTGAAGTTACACCAGAGCAAAACTTGTGTTAGAACTGAATTGAGCTCTTTGTTTGCTTGCATTTGTGTACCAAAAGAGTACTCTAACAGCTCTTAGTAAATAATAAATTAATAATGATATTATGATCTCCCTTATGACTGGAAGAAGTACAGAAAAATTAGTGTCAGAGTAAGAATTTACTTGCAAGATTCTTTGACTGTGTCATTTCTACATTGGTATTGAATATAGGGTGCCTTGCTGGACTAATTTTAATTTCTGCACCAATTAAAATTTTTATTTCAAACATCAGAAACACCCAGTGTAGTCAGACAGCATGTGGTGAACGATACAAACCCTAAAGCATATAGTTCATAGATCAAATGAGTAAGACCTCTGTTTTTTGCATTGTAAAATACCTTTAAATCCCTAGCAGAAAGTAGTAATGAAAACAACTAATGAAGGCAAGTGCTTTTTCTGTCTCCCTGCTGTAAAGCAAATAATATTTTAGTAGTTGGTTTCGTTTGTGTTTCCCCATTTGTGCCTCAGAATACACCAGATTGCAATGTTACATCACATTTTTAATGACTGGAACCATGTCCTGAGATCCCCCTTCGACCACACCACAACTTCCTTCTTTTTTTTCTCCTCCTGGCTAGAGGACTGTATGTAATTATGATGAGGACATAATTCAATTAATTATTGACAGACACGTAATCGCCACTCAGATCTTTCTCTGATAAATATCTTCCTGCTCTCTGACTTCTGTTTGTCGTGCACTAGGGAGGTGGAAAGGCACTAAAAATGCGTTTTAGAGATAGGACGTTTCTCAATCCTTTGTATCAGCCAGAGAGGCTTCTGCCGCCCTGGGCTCTTTAGATCTACAGCGTATTGTTCTCGTCTGTGCTAAACAAGTATCCCCGAGAAAGCTCAGTGGGATGGAGGCTTATGGTTCATTTTAAGTGAAGGATATAATAGGAGCAGATAACTTTGATTTGTGCAAAGGAAAAGTGTGATCTCTTTCAGGGATTCCAGGAATTCATAGCAATTTTTTCTTCTGTTGGTGATTAAAGAGAAAGTGATAAATAAGAGCTCTGTGTTCGGTTTAAAGGAGGAATGTAGCTTTAGAAAGCTGACTTATTTAGGAAAAAAAAAAGAAAAAAATCCTGACCTCAGATAGCCTTTGACCAAAATCTGCTAGTAGTACAGAGTAAAGACGAGGCTGTTTCTGTTACTATTAAAGCCCACGTAAGGGCAGTGATCACAGAAGTCCGTACGACCGTAAAATGTCCTGGGGGTCGGGCTGGGGTGGGGACGTGCCAGGGGTTTGCCCGTAACTTCGGATTACAACTAAAGCGTGCCAAAAGCGGATAAGGGAAAGAGATAACGAGGTGAGAAAGCAAAGAATGGCTTTATTGTAAAGTGAGGAAAACTAAGCTCTAGGAAAAAAAAAAAAAGAAAAAGAGTAATCGCGTACACAGAGGCTGCTCTTGTAGCCGAGAGGAGACCCGCTGCTCCTCTGCCTTTGGTTTTGGAGGCACGACGTGCGTGGGGCTGGGAAAGGCTCTGCGGGGGCAGGGCCAGGGCCGCGCTGGGAGCCGTGGGCAGCGGGGGGCTGTGCTGTCCCGCAGCGGGGCAGGGCCAGGTTTGTTGGTGCTGGGGAGTCTGGCCCCAGGGAAGAGCACTCGTTCGTCCCGCGTAGGGTGCCTGGAGGAAGCCGAGGCTGGTGAGCCCGTGCACCAGGCGGGAGGCACTGGCTGTGCTGGCAGCGGCTCAGGCACTGACTCCTTTGCCGCGCCTGGGCGGGCGCTGCCCGCGCCGGGAGGAGCAGGGGGATGCCCTGCCGCACCCTGGGCTGCTGGGGCTGCCGCCGAGGCTCCCCTCCGCTCCGGAGGGATCTGTGCTTGGCGCCCAGCGCGCAGCCAGGGGAAGCAAGCCCACCTCAAGGTGGGCTCTCGTCCCACCGCCCCAGCATCAACCGGAGACGCCCGAGTCGGGCGGAACTGGTGCAGCCCCGAGCCCAGTGCCGGGGGTTCCGCCCTTGAGGACAGCGGGAAGGTGAAGGGGCTGAATAGGTTTCAGAGGCCGTCAGAGCAGGCGCGATGGCCAAGCGGGTCGGGAAGCCCGAAGCGGGCACCTGAGCCGCATCTTTTGGCACCTAAACAGAGCGGCCCGATTTGCAGGGGCGCTGCGCTCCCGCCGCTCCCACCCAGGGCGGGGGCTTTGGGGGTAAAGGGGCAGAGGAGCGGGGTCGGAGCGTCTGGTTTCTCTGTGAGGGACCAGCCGGTGCTGCTCGTCTTATGGGAGGCGGCGGGATCGGTTACGCATGCTAGTCTAAACCGTGAATGTTGAGGGACGGGAACACTGAGGGTCCAGACGAACATTGTCACGGTCAAGACAGGGGCTATTACGCCCTAACAAACATCTTTCCACAGGTTTAGTTTAGCACTGCGGGCGCGACTCGGTGCCCAGCTGCGGAGAGCAGCGTCTCCGGCTTGCGCTGCCTCCGGGCCGTGCACCCCTCTCCAAAACTTAGGGGCTTAACAGCTCGGGCGCCTCGTCCCGCTGCTGTGAAGAACAAGGAGGCGTTCGGAGGCGCCATGGGAGGTCCTTAAAGACCCGCTGTTTCTGGGTGGCTTTGCACAGCTCCTGCGGCGGCTTCGGGATGCTCTCCACGCCCGGTCTCACCTTTCGGGCTCCGAGGGAGCAAAGTCCTTCACTCCTCACCCTTTGGAGCGTAGCTGCCGGCCCCCGGGGAGGGGGCTGAGCCTCGCACGGCCGGGCTGGGGGGTGCCCTCCTGCCCTCGCCCCGCAGCCCCGCCTCGCCGCAGGTGCGGATCGCGCTGCCCCCGGCCGGGCTCCGGTCTGGCACTGCCTGCGTGCCCGAGACGGGGCGTCCTCGACGGGGCGGCTCTGCAGCCCAGGACGGCTTTCCCCTGCCTGTGCTTTTGGCCGGGACTCACTTGCCTGCACGACGCCGGTCAGCCCTGCACCTTCGCCCTCCCGGAGGCGGCTGGCCGGGGTCACAGAGGCAGCGCGCGGTCCTCCTGGTCGGTCTCCTCCCCCGGGAGCCCCGGAGGTTTTCATTTCCCTTTGGGGACACCCAGCACTCTCACTATCAGCCGGGTCGCGGGCGGTGCACGCTCCTGCCACCGCCGAGCGAGGACTCGCCGCCCCCGGGCCCCCAGCAGCGCATCCCGCAGCTTCGCCTGCCCCTCCTCGGCTGCGGGGAGGGTGTTGTGAGATAGGCAAGAGTGAAAGTCAACGCAGCGGTCTGAAGACAGGGAAAGGCAGTCAAGGTTAGACGTGTATTTACTCAACTTTTATTATTTAAAAAAATTCATAAAAAAAAGGAAGGTGAACGAACGTCTTACAAAACCCCCCCACATAAATAGGACATTCCGTCCAGCTCTGGCTATTGGCAGTTCTAGTATTTGACAACATCAGACGCGATTTCCTGGCATTAGAGAAACCCATTTCAAAATCGGTCATCACAAAGAAATACTAGAAATCCCAGTTAGCACTTGCTAGGCAGCATGGAGCACTTGTACACAACTTTTCAGACACACACCCGCGCACACACGCAGCTGGGAACAGATCCCGTAGGAAGAGAGCCTCCTTAAAAAATAGTAAACGCTTCTCAAAAAAAAAAAAAAAAAAAAAAAGAGAGAGTTATTTACAAAACGCACATGGAAATACAGTATTGACAGAGCGTGGCTGGCAAATCAACATGATTTGAATAGAGAAAGGACTATGGCACATCTTGCTCGAAAGCTCGCACAGCAGCCTCCTTCGAGTGTCCCCGCGGGAAGACAGCTCCTGCCATCCGCGACGCAGTGCCTTCTCCCTCCCCACCTCTCCTCCCGCCCTCCCTCGCCTCTCCACCCCTGCGCTTCTTGCCAGGTCCTTTTTACACTTGGATGACCACCGTGCTGGGGCTCTGGAGCCGGGTTTTGTACTGGTCTAGCCAGCTCCTCAGCTCCGAGATCTTGTAGCCCTCTGGTCCTCTGCCTCCCTGGTACATCACCTTCTCCTCCTGGATGATGTAGAGCCTCTCGAAGTAGGCACCGTAGGCGGCGCTGGAAGCATTGTCCATGGTGTCCACGGCCAAGGGGCAATCGGGCGCCCCTTCCCTCATCAGCTGAGCTGCCCGCAGCCTGTCCTGGAGGCACTGGTGCTTGGGGATGTTGTAGGCTGCGTCCGAGCTGACCCAGCCGTCGGAGGGGTGTGCTTCTTCGATGTACACCAGCAGGAAGTCGGCAATGTCCACGAAGTGCGCGGCCAGGCGCTGGAAGGACCTCAAGCGGGCCATGAACGGGGGTCAGGTGCAGCTACCGAAGTTGAGGATGAGGGGTCTCTTGCCGCGGGCGAAGTCCAGGATCCGGAGTCTCTTCTGCCCGTCCAGCTGGATCACCTCGGGGTTGGGGGCCAGGGAACCCACGTGCGCCGACTTGAAGAAGTCCAGCTTCTGCCCATGCCACACGGCTTTCAGCGACTCCAGCGTGAACATGCGGTTGGAGTCGGACACGCAGACCGGAGGGTCGTCGGGGGGCGGCCCCTCGCTGGTGCTGGCCGCCTCCTCCGCCGTGGGCATCGTCAGCATCTTCTTCCTAATGCACAGAAAATCCAGGAGCCAGAGCATCACGGCGGTGAGCAGGAAGCGGGGGAAGAGGAGGATGCAGGCGGCCGCCTGGGTGAGCAGCTGCAAGGTGTGAACGCCGAGGGAGTGGAGCATCGCAGCGGCTTGTGCTGCAGGGCGCTGGCTGCCGGGGGGCCCCCACGCACCCTGCGTGCCGGGGTCTGTGCAGCACAGCTGAGATCCCGCTTCTCTTTAAGCCCATTTTATAGTCAGGGATTTAAATGAAAAGTGACTCCACCTCCGGCCAGAACCCGCCCCTCTGGAACTTGAGCCTGGGGATTACCTACCCCTCCACTCTAATGACCTAAAAATACACAGACAAAAGGGGAGAGAGCCCCGGCGGGAGCCGCGAGGGACGTGCAACGGAGCAGGGTGCAGGCGATATCAGGCACGGCAGAGAGTCCGAGGCAGGGCACCGCCGGGGTCCCCGGCCGCAGATAGCGGCAGGCGCTCACAGACAGCCCCGCCAAGGACAATGCAACAGGCACAGACCGCCCCCGGCCCAGCTCCCCGCGGGCTGTGCACGGAGCGCGGGGCCGGAGCGGCAGCGGGGCCGGGGCCGTCCCGGCAGCGCCTGCAGGTGACAGGGACGGGCCGCCCGCGCCGCGTCCCTCCCCGCGCCTTCCTCCTCTCCCCGCCCCGGCAGCCCGGTCCCCCCCGGGCACAGCCCTGGCCCCGCCACACGCCCCGGCGCCGCAGGGGCACGCGGGGCTCCAGTCCGCCGCCGCCCCGCGCCCGCATCCTCCGGCGGCGGCTGGCCGGGGGGGTGGGCGCTGCCCCAGCGCCGCCCCGGCCCAGCGGCACCGCCGGCCCGGAGCGGGCGGGCCGGGCCCCGGGGCGGCCCCGGCGCGGGGGCTCCCGGTGGGCGCGGGCGGCGGGCGCTGCCCCGCGCGGAGGAGGGGCGCGCGCGGCGCGCGGCCGCGAGGGGGCGCTGTTGGCCGAGAAGCCGCGGCGGCGGCGGCGGGAGCGGGGCTCGCGCCCCGGCCCGGGGTGCCCGCGGCCCTCACGGCCCGGCCCGGCCCCACCGCGCCTTCACCTGCCTCCCCCGAGGGATCGAGGGAAGGAGGGTCACCGCGGGCGCCGCGGGGCCGGCGCTGCCGGGCGTGCCACGGTGGGTGGGCAGGGCGGACGGGGGAGACTTAAGAGAGCGCTGCGTCTGCGGTGTCCCCCTGCTCACCGGGGTCCCGCTGCGTCCAGGTGAGCAGCAGGTCAGCGCGGGCGCTCCTTTACGGCGTCCCAAGAGGAGCCAGCAGTGCTCTTCTACACCTGTCAAGCGACGTATAAACACAAGCTTCTCATGGGAGTAGGTCTGGCAAAGTCCTTGCACAGATGGCTCAAGCGTCACCTCATGGGCACGGCCAGGTAGACCTGTGTACTGCGCACACAGTGGTTTGGGGTTGGGTGGGTTGTGCATCAGTAGCAAAGTGCTTGCAGTACGAAGGGCTGAGCACCGACTGGCCACCTTCAGTCTTCACCTATCAGGAGGAATTTACGGCCTGTAGATTCCTTCCTGCTGAACTAGATGGAGACCTGTCCCGGAGGTACAGAACTTGAATCTAGTTTGGTGTCTCTGCTCACAACCTTGCCCCTCCATTGTTGCAGAGTTCCCTGCTTGCAGCATGCACATCATCTCCTCACCAGCTTCCTCAGAAAGGGATATTAGTTGTCAAAAGTGCTGAACACTGCCCTCTGCTATGCAAATGCAGCTCATGCATCCCTGAGCTGCTGCTACAGCTGCCACTCACGCAGGTGGCCTGCCACACTGACTTTGGGACATATGACCCAAGCATTCAATGTGCCAGTGGGTCCTGAGCACCCCATTTCTGCCTGTGGCCAGTGTCAGGTCTCTGGCTGCAGATTCCCAAAGAGCCTGAGGACCTCTAACTCCCCCAGGTGTAGCCTGTGCTTCTCCAAAAGTGACCGTGCATGTCTGTGCCTCCCGTCTAACATCTGCGAAATGGAAAAATGAGTGCTGAGCCTCCTCATGGGAGTCTAGGCAGCTTGGTTCATTTTTATGTAACTTATTATGAGAACTCTGAATAAAAGGCAAAATTAAAATCTCATTTTAGTTTTTTTTTTACCTAGTTTCGAATAGGCTGGTTTAGAGCAATCCAATCAGATGCCTGGTTTGCAGCCCTCACGGTGCATTGTCTTTACTAGGTGTCAACAGCAAGTGAAGGTAATTCAGCGTTTTAGCATCTGAATGGAAGTATATGCCCAGACCTCATAAAGCCATGTTCATACACCAGCCTGATTAATAACTTCTTTGACATTCCATGGTGTTCAGTCCAGGGAAAATTACTAGTAGATGTTTGCTATATTGTCAAACTTATTTTGAACTATTCATGTGGGCCTCTCACCACCTCTCTGTGCTGTTATGCAATCTTAAAAACCACAAATTAAAGCCTCTAAACAGATACAATAACAAATTGTGGTAGCTCTAAAGAAACCCCCAGGAAAAAAAATTGATCTTTCAAAGCGACCTCTTTGAACTATGCTGACAGACAAAAGCCTGAGTAAACAGATGGGTTTGCAACCCTGAGTATCAACAAACTTTGCTCTACTAGATCAGTGAGAGATATTCCGAGGTAAAAAAGCTATTTGGTCTTATATATTGTATTTGTAGATGGATAGGGACTTTGGAAATGACTTTTTCTCCATTCTGTGGAAACAGCCTTGCTTTATTTTTATAGCTTGAAGGAAACCTTTGAGTTGGGGTTTCTTTTTCAGCTGTGGATAGAGAAAGAACTGAAGCATTTTTCTCCACCTGCCTAATGCTACACTTTCCTGCCATAGGAAAATTCAGGTATAATCTGAGGCCACTTTTTTCGCAGTTTAACAAATGATGGCTCTACAAGCCGTGCACTGATATGCTCAGTTGAGGTACAACGCTCAGGTATTAATTCTGTGTGAAAGGGTGGAATTCCTTCTGCAGCCCTTTGGTTCTCGGAAGGTTTGAAGTGATGTGTTGTTGCTGTTCCCACTTCTGTGTTGTGCTGGATGATTTTCAATTCACATGTTTACACTCTGGTAGCCCCCCTCTTTACTTCAAAAGTTCCAACTGGGAGATACAATCCCAGTTGGAACTTGGATTATTTTTAGAAATGTGAAGGTAGTCAGTCTTTCTAGGAATCCATATCACTGATACTAGTAGTGTGGGAATTTACATCTTCCTGAGCACTAAGGATTTCAGAATATATCCTAAAACATGGGATTTACAGTGGCACATCTGGTTATGGGTGGTTTTTACTCTTCTGCATGTGGTCTGTGGTTCAGCAGTCACTAGCTCAAAAATATATGTTTGTATGTGTGTGTCCCCGCACAAGTGCACATACACGGCTCACATTATTTCCTTTTTTCTGAGAACTTTATAGCTGTAGTTTTCCTTCATTTGATAAATGTAGTTTATAACTCTTTTAAAGTTCTTTTCATAAACAGGAGCTACAAAATAAATTCAACAACTTATAAAAACAAAACCTCAAAAAGCCAAAATTAAAACCATCAGGGCTGCTTTGATGTAGAGGATGTGTTGAAATGGTATATTTACATGTTTATTTTCTATTTTATAATTTCCTGCACAAAGGCACGCAATACTTTCTGACAGGAACTGAAATGTATTTTGGAAGAGTTCCACCTCTCATGTCATCTAAGCTACATGTCGTTAATGTGTTAGAACTTTGTGTGAAGGAAATGAAAAAGACTTTCCTGAAATAAGAGCTGGACAATTTCTACTCATGTAAGTGGCTACCCGTTGACTGAAGAGAGGTGCAGTGGTGCAGTGGTAAATTACTCACCTGTCTGGTATCTGTAAGAAGTGGGTAAATGTTATATTGTTGAAATTGGAGGTGGATAAACTCCATTTGGAGTTGTTTGCTTGTAGTGACACCTCTGGAAAAAAGTTACCATAAGCTGGAGTCTGTGCATGGGTCTGGCTGTCTTTGGATCTACCTCTCTCTTAATCTTTCACCACTTTTAGATGACACCTGTTTTTCTTTTCCTCCCTTCTGCTGCCTTTTTTTTTAATTATTTTTTAAAAATAATATATATATGACTCAGAAAAAAAAAGAAAAAGGCAAAACCAAGCACCTAGCCAATGCTTGGAGTAGCTTTGAGTATTGAAAGAAAAAAAGTGCTGTGCTGCAGGTTGGTCTACAGAATCACTAGCAGACGCATGGACTTTGAATCTCCTACCTGACCCTGGCACTCTCACCTTTGAATATGAGACAAGTCTGTCATATATGACAAGGAGATTCCCTGCACTGAAGCTTTATAATTCTTTTCCCCCCTCATTTCTTGCTGACTCTGGGTTGAATTAGGAAAGACCTGTTTAATTTGAAGGGAGGACTGATTCCACAGCCACAGATCTGTTAGTGCAACGCTCAGGTCTCACCCTGGGTAAGTGGAAATCAACATCTTCTTGAATCTGTGAGTCACTTACCAAGGCTTTGCTGTGTGACCATGTGTACAGTTCCCCTGATGTGTTAATGGGTTTCTGCACCTGGCTCTACATGGCTGCTCCCCAGTGCCCCTGTTGTGCCAGCAGCCCGTCAGGCTAGGGTAGAAACTAGATAACCAAAATTCTGGTTTTAAACCCAGGTGATTTTGGTGACTGAGTTCACTTTGAGACCCCTAAAATAGTGTGTAACAGCAGAACTTCCAGTGCAACTTGATGAATGACAAAAAGTACAAATTTCCATCCCATTAATCCTTCCTCATTTCTGCTTGCACTGTGTCTTGGGTGACCTTGCAGTGACCTGTGGTGACCTGCTTTGGGGACTAGGGGGCAGAGAAGCTTGACTTTAGAAAAAAAGAGTTATTTCCTGACAGGTTAGTTCTCTAAACTTGCTAATGACAAAATGAAATGATCACCTGTGATACAGGGGAGGCACTAGAGAAATGGCCACAGCCTGCAGCCAAGGCAGGGCTAACAGGACCATCCTGTCAGACTGCCTTAGCAATATTATCAATCTGTCCCTGGGTAGAATTGCATAGTGAGAATGTGTTAAGGGCAGAAATTTCCTGAACAAGCTTCACTACAAATGTATGTAGTCTTTGCCTTTTGTGTAGTGGAAGAGCATAGGAGATGTACAGGAGATGACAGTGGCTGTCACAGGGTCCTGCTGGGCAATGTAGCTGAAACGGGGTGCACAGCCGGCTTCTGGGGTGAGCCAGCAATGTCAACTTCAGCAGCAGCTGCTAACACACTTCCATCAGTAGGAAATCAGATTATCCATAAACCCCCGTGCCAAGCATATCCCTGCTACCCATCAAGCAAACAGCTCGAAAGCTGCTGTGGCTCAAGAGCTCAGGCTGGACCCCCTGGT